CCCCAAAACCCCAAAACCCCTAAGGATGTGATTGATGAAGATCATAGCAACAATATTTTGTCTTTATTATTTTTTTAAATAAATTCCCTTAAGGACAAAGCTAACTTTTCAAATATTTATTTTGTATAATTCAAAATACATCATACAAGTTCCAAAATCTAAATCATTCATCTCAATTTTTCCAAATCCATTTTCTCCCCAGCTAGTACCCCATGAATTACTAAATATCCAGTATTTTTTATCATAAGAGATTCCATATCCAATAATTAGCACTGCATGATCTGGATTTCCAATGCATCTTGAAGGAGTGATGATTCCACTTTTATAGCTCCTAAAAGCTGGAGATTACGAAGCTACTAGAGCAACTATTGGACCTTCTTATACAATTTATTAAAGTTGTGATGAGAATTAAACTTGAAATTGTAAGAATGATGAAATTCCATAATTCTCTTAACTCTAGAAAGCTGAGCTGTCACATTTCTTAGATCTACCAACATAGGGATAATTTTTTTCCAACGGAAATTTATATCTCTACATAAAAAGTAATGAATGGTAAACAGTACCCTTAATGCAACCAAAGTTCTAAGACAAATAACCATTTGAACAATCCACAATATATTACTCAGAAAAATCAATATCCTTATATTTCTAATAATTATTCTTGCGGTATAAGTATTCAATCAGTGCCATTGGAGCAAAAGCATATGCTGATGCACATTTTCCTTGATTTTTTACAGGGGAAAGATAATTATTTTTTGTGCGAAAATCTAGAGAAGTTGGAAGTTATTAAAGAATTCTATAATCGCTGACTTGATCAATTTCTGTAATTTGTTGAATAACTGTGTCAGTAGAGATAACTTAGTTACTCTCTGAACCATTAAAGTTAGCTACTTGTAGAATTTTCGAGTAATCATTTTGGGAGAGATCAGAGTACTAGTTTAGACCAAGTTTCAAATCTGTTGTTGATTCACTGTTGAATCTCTAAATCTAAGCTAACTATTCTTTGAAGTTTGTGAAGGCTTCTTTAAAATGATTTATATCCTCATAAATTTTATTGAAATCTCTAATGTAGTCTGTGAAAAGATAGAGATCATTATCTTGACCATTGAGGATTTCCTTGTTTGGAAAGTTATTTTCTCCTCTTTATAGCTATGTAATGAGAATGTAGGCTCCGAATAATGCAATTGTAATGATAGCTCCAAAAATCAATTAAGTTGTTCTCTGTTTGATCATTATGAATTTGAACAATCTAAGATCTATAAAAAATTGATTAATAATGTGATTTACAGTTGTTTAAATTAGACTAAATGGCTTTTGATTTATTCTTAATAAAACTATTATTAATTTTAATGATGTTATGATCATTTATTCTAATGGGGTTTTGGGGTTTTGGGGTTTTGGGG